TCAATGAGAATAGACCTTCAGAGACCTATTGTCTCACATGGATAATCCCCTCCTCCACAGGCCTCAAGAAACCAGAGAGCCTTGGACCCCACCAGAGAAAGATTCCTGAAGGAAGGTGCTCACAGCATGTGCCCCATGTTCTGCACTAACACGAGCCGCTCGGGGACTGGTTCATAACAGTACTGCCCTGGCCTCACGGCCTTCGGGACCCGTTGGTTTCTGTGTTCCCCTCTGCTCTGGCCATCCTCATCACTTTGGTTTAATTTGGGGTGGGAAAGGAGAAGAGGGGAGGGCATGGTATACATCTTTTTTAATATTGGTTATTTTCCAGCCTCCCTTAATATTGGATCCCTGCTGAAACCAATAGAGAACACGCTGAAAGACTGCAGGAAGCTCGTCTGTTGGGTTTTGTTTTTATTTATTTTTTACATTATTTCCAGTTCAGCAAGAATCACTAAGAATCTCCTAAGACTCCCTGGCTGTTCTGAGAGTCCTCACTCAACTCTCCATCAGCATACTGTTAGGGGGCCATTCACCAGACTTCAGAGGGATGTAACTTGAGTCTGGGTCAGACCCTGAGGTCTGCCCGGCTTATACATAAAACACCAGAGTCCAAAGTAGAGGGGGGACTTAGCGCTGCCCTAAGCTTTGGATTTCAAAGGAATTCGACTGCAAGCAACTTCCTAAACTCGCAAGGCCTCGGGCCACACGAGGTAGCCCGTGTGTTGGTTTCTCATAGGTGCACAGAGAGCACATTCTTTCCCTTGATAGTTGCTGTTCTTGTTGGATCAGCATCTCTTTTTCAAGCATATTTTAAAATTAAAATTTAAGGGGGGAAAAACGCATAATCGCAAAGGAGCTAACTTGTCCAACCCTCCGAAAAGCTGGCAAGAGAGTGTGTGCACTCCAGTAGTTTTCCTCAGAGTAAGGTCAAAGAGCAACCTTTGCATCCATCATACAAGTGCCGTTTGTGTTTCCCAAGAGTCAGTGCAAGTAACTTGAACTCCAGCCTGGGTTTGCTGGTTGAGTCGAGTTTTATTTTGTTTGGGTTGCAGTGTTGTGGTGTAGCCCAAGTCCCCAGGCTGGATTCCATTTAATGCCTCCACAGACAGTCCAAGGCCTTTGCTAGGAACACAATTGTAGCTCACAACCTGCTTCTACGATTTCAACTCAGCGGGGACCTCCGCTTCAACTATAAGCTGTGGCTATGTTGTAAGCGAAGAAAGTTAAAATAGCCGGGGTAAACATTTCTGTTTCTAAAAACCAACGGATTCCTTCTGTTACTGTGGGAGCCCAGGCCCTCTCAGAGGGTCACAGTTGCTTTCTGATTGGCTTCCCTGCTTAACTCGCTTCCACTAATCTCTCCTGGAAGGTTCAAGATGTCCTGGATTCCCTTCCAGCAAATATCCATCATTTCATTATTTGATCACGTGCTGTGGCTGGATACAGCAGTGAACATAAGGTACTAAAATCCTGCCCGTTAGGAGTTTGCAGTCCCGGGCTGGGAGTCAATGTATCAGAGGCTGTGTACTCACCACAATCCGTGGTCTTTTTCTCCTGGACACACAGTTAGGCTACATTTCCCAGCCTCCCTTGCCTATGAGTGAGTGGGTTCCAATCAATGGAATATGAATGAAAAGAATATTATACTTTCCTAGGCCTGACCTATAACAATCTGTCACTGACAGTCCTCTACATCAGCGGTTCTCAACCTGTGGGTGGTGACCCCTTTGGGGATTGAATGACCCTTTCACAGGGGTCACCCAATTCATAACAGTAGCAAATTTACAGTTAGGAAGTAGCAATGAAGATAATTTTATGGTTGAGGGGTCACCACAACATGAGGAACTGTATGAAAGGGTCGCGGCATTAGGAAGGTTGAGAACCGCTGCTCTATACTCTCAATTCCTCGTTCTTTTGATGGATAGTCAACTAATTGAAGAGGATATTAAGAACCTTGTTAAAGAAAAAAAAAAAAAAGCCTGGGTCCATTGAATCATCACATGAATGTCTATCCACCAAACACCTGCAATGAATTGTTAAATGAACAAGAAATAAATTGTATTGTTTCAAAACTAAGATGTTAGTTCTTTACTATAGTATTCTAGTTGGTCAAGA